CTTCTCCATCTTGGCCTCCAGTGCTGGCTTACTGGGCTGCATCTTTTTCCCCAAATGTTATATTATTATGTTAAGACCTGAGTTGAACAGCAGGGGACAGCTATTAAAAAGAAACTAAACCTCTGACATTAGAAACTATAAATCCGCTTAAACTTATTGCCAAAAAGGAAGTAATATCTGATAATCACAACCTCTTTCCTTAGTTGAGAATGTTGGGAAACAGATCCTTATGTTTTGTCCTGATTTTAGGATGGGTTGAAAAATGAATGTGTGTGATAGCTATCAATGGAGGTGCCATTCCCCTTCTCTCTCTTAATTTTCATTCACATTTCATTGCTATGTCAATTGTCCACCATGGGCCTTGTGTTCCTTTATGTGTTTGTCAGAAGCATGCTGTATCAACAAATAGTCACCAGCAAGCATTTTAGAAAAAAACATGAGCAAAGCGAAATCTGAAGTGGATCAAAATGCCTTCTTAGTGCTCTTCACTATATTCTCGCCTTGAAAAACTGATCTTTCTCCCCTTTTCTCCACTTTTCTCCCCAACTCCCTCACCCTTCTGTGTCTTGTTCTTTTCAGTTGTGATCCTGCTTGCAGAACCTCTCCCTTCCCTTTCTCTCTCTTACGATTGGTGTGATCCAATTTGATCAGCAACAATTGCATCAGAAGCAGGATGAAGAGGCAATGTGTAAATAAATACTACATATATGAATCTAGAAATGCATACAAATGTGGCTTTTTTAAGGCTATAGCATTGTTCAAGAACTTGGTTATATAACAAAATAATGCACTTCCACAAAATTTTACCCTTAAAAAGACTTAGGAGCACATTTTTGCTGTTTTGAAGTTGTAGTTTTTTTATTAATAAATGCCTCCTTTTCACTTGTTCTCCAATGATGGGTTTGTTTCTTATTCACACAAAACTTGCATGGGAATATATTTGCTTTTGCAGTCAGAACCTCATGAAGATGGAACAAAGCGGGACATTAGCCAATGTCTGCAGGCTTTGAATTTTGCAGCTTTTATTCCAAAAATGTAGAAGTGCAATTATGAAGGACTCATCAAAGTGAGACATTGGGTCTTCAGGCCACTCTTCTGCTGGTTTGCTTGCTGCTGTGGAAAGTAGCTCAAGAGCGTCTTAGAGGCACCCACTGAATGCATGACTTCATTCAAGGTCAAGGTGACATTAGAAGCCTGTGGTGGACCAGTAGGGGAAGCCACAACCAGGCACAAAAAGTGGCTGCCTTAGGTTAAAACACTCTTTCCACTCTTCTCCTTGGGAGAAAAGGAGCTAGCTCCAGCCCTTCCACATGCTCACTCAGCACCTCTTTGTCACACTAAATCTCCCAAATCACTGTGGTCTATTTACCCAACAGGAATCTGAACAGGAATAATGTGCTGGGAATGATAGAATTGGACTTGTCCTGGGAGAAAGCAGAGAACCTATTGTGGGGTCTATTTATTATTTATTTATTAAAAGCTTTCCTATCCTGTCCCCTACAGAATGACCCGGGTCAGCTTGCAATAAATAAGTAGAATAAACAAACCCCACAGCATCCGACCATTGATATACTAAAACCCAGTTAAAATCATTTAAACATTAAAATAATGGGGAAATACAGAGGGTTTTGCCCAGTGCTGAGAAGAATATAACATCAGCACCAGGTGAACCTCTTTGGGGAGCGTATTCCATCATCAGGAACCACATAGGGCTCCCTTTTATCGGCTCCTAGAAATGTGTGGCTTGTGTGTTACACCATCAAGAGTATGGCACAAGTTGTTCCCTCTGCAATGGCAATTTCCATTTAAAATATCTCTTGTTTTTATCTCTACATTCACCAAGTACACACAGTTGATCTTTTGTTGGCCACATGTGCAGAACCACTGTGTGGAACTCACACCTCCTGTTTGCTAGTGCTGTGTCCTTTCCCACTGAGCTGAGTGTACAACACCACCACTCAAAGCTTGCTGACGGCTCCAGCCACCGATCTTTCTTACGCATGTAGACCCACAAAAGTATGGGTTTTCTTGCTATTGTAGGTCGCTTACTATCACTCTGAAGAGCCAGACACTGAAATTTGTGAAAACCATTTTTCTCTTGCAATATTGCAAAGAACTTGTAATTCAGAATAGGTTTTTAACTCCTGTGCAATTATCAGAACAAGATTATTTCTTTTTCAAGTCCCAGGTGAGTTTCTGTAGTCTCTAGCAAAACAATGAACTAATATGAAAGGAAGCTATTAATAAACGCTGTGCCATTCTGAGCAGTGGTAAAAGGAAAACTCTGCTCGTGGAGCCATGAAACCATACAATGTTAACTATTAATTCACTGATGGAGGCATCATTCCAGCCAAGTTGGGCTGCTCAAGGACACTTGAATGTCAACAAAGGAAAAGATGAATGCAGTTGCAGAAGAAAACTTTCTATAAGATGGTGCTACTTTCACTCTTGTTATTACTTCTATTGCCCCTGACAGCATGCAAAGTTCCCATTGCTAACTGCAATATGAATAACCCTCTTCCAATAAACCACAAGTATGATCAGTCAGGGGATGTCATCATTGGGGGCATCATCTCTCAGATCTACATATTTTCCAACCCTGTGAGCTTCAAGTCACATCCCTCTCAGGACCTTCTTGATGATCTTGTGTAAGATTTCTTACTAGCTTCATATTCTAGGGGGAGCCTTATTAGCTTTTTGCATCCAAAGCAACCAGGTGTTCTACAGCCCTAAGTGCAAACACAGTTTTTACAGCCAAAATTTTTTGGACTGTCAGAATTTTCATTTAAGCAAGTAGAGTCAGCATTGGTTGTTTTAGCAATTAACTAAATATTCTACGTAAATTATATTAATATGATCATACCTGGTGGACTATTTGGCTTTAATGGAATTAGGATGGGAACAAAGGTCGTTTTAGGTGCTGAAAATATCTTGGACTGAAGTTCACAGGATAATTGCATATACTAATTAATGTATGCTCCAAAGTCTTTCTCTGTGTGTGCATATACACACATTTAAAAGACCCACTCTCCTAAGGTCACCTGGATTTGTAAAAAGAGATCATGGACTGGGAAGAAGAAAGGTATTTGATTTCAGAAACAAAAACAGAAAGGCAGAAGGGGTTCAAGTTAGGGGCCGTCAGGAGCTACACGTGGGCAAAATGTCAGTTAATCTAAGGGTAACAGAGATGCAGCAGAGCTCATTGGGGCTCCTGGACCTTTGTTCCAGCAAGTGCCCATGGACAGCCCAGTGGTGGCTCAAGACACCCTATGAAATTTTGATGCTCCAAATGAAAGATCCAGAGCATCAGCTGTAGTGGCCTCTACCAGAACATCTCCTCTAGGTGAGAATATCTGGGAATGCACTCCTCTTTTTGCACATTTTTCAACTATGCAAGCTTTATATGGCTTCGTGTAAGGTTCCTTGGCTGTGTCATTGTCCAGCAACCACAACCAGCAGCCCAAACATCTTGAGAACCTCAAAGACATATTATGACAAAAGCTTTAGGCTTTTTGTTTTTTTTCAATTTACTCTTGTTATTATGTCTTTCTAGATAATATCTCAGCCAATGCAATCTATCAGGCTTGTCTTTTAGTGGAATGGGGATAACTGAGACCATATCTACCTTTCTATCATATTTGAATGTCAGCATAGCCTTATCTTTGTCTCTTCCTCCTCCCATTTTTATTAGTCATATTACTGTTGTTATTATGTTTTAGTTGTTCTAATATTTATAAGCATTCTTTTCTACCTGCCAGTTATTTGGTAATTTCCTGTAATATGTCAAATCTGTAGAATGAAGCAGGTTACCTTCCCTTTTATTGATTAAGAATAATGGCAACCATATTTTATTTCTGACTTTAGGTTACTGAGAATAATTCAAAGCTTAATATTGGAATAAGTGCTATATGAGTTGAAATAGATTTCCAGGATGGTAGCAATAACTGATTTTGAGTTTTACTTGTGCAGACATTCATTCTTGGCTTCTTTTCTTAAGAATGGGAAATATTGCCATTTCTATTACATCTGGTGTTTCAGTATCTTTGTTCACCCTGAACAAAATCTGGTCTTAAATAAACTAGTATTCAAATATGAATTGCATAATCCTATGCATATCTGCTCAGAAATAAGTCTGCAAATGCATTGATTACCACAGTATATAACAGAGGTAATGCAATTATACATTCAGCCCATTTTAAGCTATAGTATGTCTATGAATACCACACATTTATGTTTGGCCTCCAAGAATGTGGTGTTGATGTAATGACAATGAGAGATACCCAAAATGCAGGTTGGTACACTAGTGTTTAATGACACTTGCCTGAAACAAGGTGAAACCTTGGCTATTCCCTGCTATGCCAGGGAGGATGAGAGGAAGAAGAAGGCTGGAGAGCTGGGGAACGGGGTTCTCAGGAAAGAAGTGAGATGTAGGTACACCAGCACTAGGAGCATGGAAAACAAGCAGGAAGAGCCTTGAGGCTTTCCTGGGAATAGGAGGGTATGAGCTGGTGGGGATCACAGGAACATGGTGGGATGCTAAGCAGGATTGGAATGTCAACACAGAAGGGTATGCTCTGTTCAGGAAGGACAGGAAGGGAAGGAGGGGTGGAGGTCCATTGCACCCAATGTTAAGGAAGGGATAGGGTGCAATGAGATGGTGGCAGGGTAGAAGGCGATCTGGGTAAGATTGACAGGTCTAGACAGGGCCAGGGACCTGATAGTGGAAATATGTTATCACCCACTAGGTCAACTTGAGACACTGGATAATGATCTGATAGAACAGAATGGATGCTCAGGGGAGGGATACGGTTATTATGGAAGATTTCAACCTCCCTGATATTCATTGGGAAATGCATTTGGTGGTGGAAGTGGGTAGGTCCCTACTCTTTCTAGTAGTTATGGAAGGAGGGTTTTCACCCAGAAGATCTCGGAGGCAGCAAGAGGGGAAATATCCTAGGTTTGGTTTTGACCAACTGGGAGGATCTAGTGGATGATGTGCAGATCAGGAGAGCTCTGGATGTGAGTGACCAATCCATCCTATGCTTCGAGATCAGGTGAACAGGGATCAGTGGTAGGTCAAGTAGTAGGAGATGGGACTTCTCCGGGGCCAACTTTGGTCAATTTGAGGCCAGGGTAGGAGACATTTCCTGGGAGAGAGTACTGGAAAACATGAGAGTTCAGGCAGGGTGGATGGTGGGAAGGTGTTGGATGTGGTTTACCTGGATTTCAGCAGGGCCTTTGACAAGGTGCCAAATGATATTCTGGTTGAGAAATTGATGAGTTTGGGATAGATCAATGCACTATCCAATGGATAAGGACTGGTTGAAATACTGCAAGTAGAGGATCACTATCAGTGGGGAATCATCAAGATTGCAGCCAGTGACTAGCACAGCCTGCCAGGGCTCAGTTCTGGAACTGATTCTGTTCAACCTCTGTATCAATGACCTGGAGGAGGGAATAACCAGTCTGCTGACCAAATTTGCCATCAACACTAAAGCCGGGGTAGTGGTCTCAACTGGGGAGCAGGTATTCCAGATCCATAAGGATCTGGACAGTCAGAAGAAGAGGTGGAGGACAACAGGTTGGCATTCAATGTGGATAACTCCAAGGACTTTCACATGGGACTCAGAAATACATGCCATAGGTACAGGATGAGGAACAAGTGGCTGGAGAGCAGCACTTTTGAAAGGGATCTTGGGGTACTTGTCAATAACAGGGTAAACATGAGCCAGCAGTGCAACATGGTGGTTAAGAAGGTGAATGCCACCCTTGGATGTATAGCCAGTAGTGTGGCTTCCAGATTGAGAGACAGGTGTCAGTTTTGCTCTATTAGACTCTGGTGCACCCACAACTGGGGCATGATGTCCAGTTCTAGGTTCCACATTATATGAGAGATATAGCTAGGTTAGAATCAGTTCATCTCAGGGTCACAAGGATGGTAGCCAGATAGGAGGGAAATGACATAGGTGATGAGATTGAGGGAGCTGAGTCTTTTCAGCCTGGAGGAGATGAGACTCAGAGGGGATCCTATAGTGACATATAGGTATGTGAAGTGGTGTCACAAGGTAGAGGGTCATGACCTGTCCCACCCTGAAGTGGAGGAAAGGATGTGATCCAATGAGGCAAAGCTCAAGGAAATGGGTTTCAGGTTGGATGTCAGGAAGTACTTCTTGATTGTTAGGACCCCCTAGGAGAAGGAATGGGCTTTCACGGGTGGGGTCCCCATCAGTGAGGGTGTTCAAGGAAAGACTGAACAACCACCGTTGGATATTATGTGAGTGGATCCAGGGATCAAAGTAGATAGCCCAGGTGAGACCTTCTGACTCACTATGTTTCTATGTTGTTTTTCTATGCTTCTATTTTTGTGCAATATATTGGTTGAAGATTTATTGAACTGAATTGTAGCACCTACCGTATTCTGAAGCAGAGGAATGCTGATGGCGCATAGAAATCTCTTTGCAGATTTATGACTCAGACTTACCAGAATATCCTGTCATTTGTATATGCTGTGAGAGAGATCAATGAAAACTACCAGGGCTTCCCCAACTTCACCCTTGGCTTCCACATCTATAATAGTCATTTTGCTGGAAGCTGGACTTATCTCGCATCAATGGAACTTCTTTCCACTTGGGGAAGTTTAATCCCTAACTACAAGTGTGACATAGGGGATAATCTAGCAGCTGTCATCGCTGGACCAAACTCAAATGTTTGTTTCTTCATTGCAACCATTCTATGCATCTACAAAATACCACAGGTAAGATGGGAATATCTTGGCACAGGTTACCAATTCTTTTTGTGGCTCCATTCAATTATCTGGTTTAAGCTTTTAAAAGAGAGTGTCTGTCTTATTACAAACCTGACAGTTCTGAAGAACTGCAGGACTGTATTCTCCTCTTGTAATTTCTAATTTGTGGAACATTTTGTGCAGTCGTAGTTATTGTAATGAGAGTTCTAACAAAACAAACCATAAAAAGAAAAGAAAAAAATCTAGCTAGCTATAAATGAATGTATCAATTATGCATAAAAATTCAAAACAGGCAGACCAAATATCCATAAATAGATATTTGGTTCATCTTTTTTTAAGTTTTATGTATAATTGATAGATGCATATGCATGTATCAACTCATCTCCAACATATGGCAACCCAGTGACTGAAAACCCTACTGTATGTCCTGTTCTTGACAGCCCTGTTCAACTCCTGGAACCTCAAGTTGTGGCTTCCTTTATGGGACCAATCTAATAGTTAGTATGGTTGACTTCTCCAGGGAGTCTTGCCTTCTTATGACTTGTCCAAACAGTTATTTTCTGAGGGTCCCTGATCCAAACATGGCAAGTTGATCTAAGGTCAGCGCGAGCATTCTCTCTCAACCCTTGTGGCTGGCATGGAAAGAAGTACACTCTCTCTGACTCCAAAGTCATAAGAGTGACCTTTTGGTGGGATCGGGGTAGGGAAGTGAGAAAAATGTTGCTAGGTGTTGTGTGTGACAGGAGTAATGCCAAGGTCACTTGATGGACATGGGAAAATAACCCTGATCCCTGAGTTTCCAAACTTACAGGCAGTGTCACTGTAACCTATTAAATTATGTAGCTGCTTTAATGTATTAACTTGCATATTTATTTCTCTTTTAAGGGGCACTTTTATATTATTCATAGCCTTGATGAATTTTTAGCAAATGAGGTAGTACATATGCAGCAGCATCACATGAATCCATCAATTATGAGATATGAACAAGCCAGTTATGCTTCTTCCAACTTTTAGGTCTTGCGTTTCATAGATAGAGGCCTGTTACAATCACTTCTTGCCCGAAATGATTCCTTTGATTCCTTTGGAGTTAGGAAGTAAGAGCTGCTTTATACTTTTATTTATTTGTCTTCATAGCTTGGGTATGGCTCTGCTCCAGTGCTGAATGATCAAAGCCAAGAACCTTTTTTCAAACGGATGTTCCCTAATGAAAACAATCAGTATATAGCAATTGTCCAGTTGCTGCTGCATTTCAGTTGGACATGGATTGGGGTGATTTTTATAGATGATGACAGTGGACAAATGTTTGTACAAATTGTGCTTCCACTATTTTTTCAGAAAGGCATCTGCTTGGACTTTATAGAAGCTTTGCCAACAATGTATTTTACCACTGATATTTCTGAAATGGTGGCCGAGTGGATTGGAACATACAAGGTTATTATGAGTAGCACTGCCAATGTTGTGGTTTTAAATGGTGAAACATACACTATGCTATTTTTGAGAATGTATCCCCAGGTGTCAGAATTTGAAGACATACAAATTAAGAGCAGAGGGAAAGTCTGGATCATGACGGCCCAAATGGAGTTCTCATCAATTCCCTTCCAAAGATTTTTGGACATAGACATCATCCATGGTTCTCTGTCCATTGTCATCCATTCAAGTGATGTGCCTGGATTCCAGCAGTTCCTTCAGATGAGAAACCCCACCTCAGACAAAGAAGATGGCTTTATCAGGGAGTTCTGGCAACAAGCATTTAGCTGCGTGTTCCTAAAGACAAAGGTTGAAAAGCAGGATGAGGACATCTGCAGTGGGGAGGAGAAGCTGGAGAACCTTCCTGGGTCTGTATTTGAGCTGGGCATGACCAGCCACAGCTATGGTGTCTACAACGCTGTCCATGCTATGGCACATGCTTTGCAATCCATGTATTCAGCAGTATCAAAACACAGAGCAATAGGATATGGGATAAGATGGAAGTCTGTAACTCAACAGCCTTGGCAGGTAATGTCCTGAGCACACCAACACAAGATGGTGCATACAGATGCAGTATGAGCTGATGCTGCCATTCCAGTTTTCTTACTCTTTCTATTAATGTTTACTGGTAAGAATAGTATCAGGTAAAGCATTGAGTATGGATGGAATGAAAGTTGTTGTTGAACTTTCACAGGTTGTCACAGGCATGTGGGTCATTGTGTTGTCTGAACCCAGCTGCACTAACAAGCCATGGCTTGTTAACCATGAACTACCTGTGATGAGTACCTATGGATTGTTGTTGAATTGTGAGCTGTGACTTTTCCATCATGGTTTGTTATCTCTCCTGAATTCAGATAATGCATTAATCCACATTTCAACTTGAACCAATACTTAACCTTATATGAGATGGATGAACTCCATCAAGGAAGCCACAGCCTTGAATTTACAAGAGCTGAGCAAGGCTGGCAGGGACAGGACATTTTGGAAGGCTGCCATTCTTAGGGTTGCTGTAAGTCAGAGACAACTTGATAGAACATAACAAATAGCAACGATTGCAACACACAATAAGATACTCAGAGCAGGAATTAAAAGACTTGGTTAAATCCATTCCAGCTGAGTTTCATGCATTATCAGGTTTCTTGCTTTCCATCATCTGCCTAGGGATTTAATCTGATCTTTTTTGAAGGAACATGTACTAATTTCACTCCTGATTGCAAAATGCAGATTTGCACTCATGTGCATTTGCATGGACTGCCCTCCCCAAAAGTTAAACAATCATCTACAGAATCAACAAGACTCTTGACAAAAGTTTGTTTGCTATGGAATCTACAGACTGGTTTCACAAATGTCTTTGAATCCACCATGGATTTCTCCTACTTATCAGCAGGCTAGACACTCCCCCGTGTCTGATAGAACAACCATAAAATCTCTGCCATTAGTGGAATCCTGAGGACAGTTTAAACAGCATTCTGTATGCTCAGTGGTCAAGGAATGCTGATGAACCACTAAATAGAAAAGTCAATGCTGGGGTGTGGGTACCACACTTGCTGCCTGAGTAAAGGGAAAGACTGAGACTGTCTTTGTGATCAGAAAAGCCAACTTGGATGGTTGCTTGACCTTACTTTCAGCAGTGGCAATGGAGCAGTGTCCTCAGCATGAGGACAGCAGGCTATGCTGGCAAATTCAGGAAACTCCAGCTCCGTCTGTTCCTTGCCCATCAGCAGATGCTTCTCAGCCAAATGCAAAGGTCAGGCCTGCATCATCCCCAGGGTGAAACAATCATCCTGAGCTGAGGACTTTCCACCATCACCTGCACGGGACTGTAAGACTTTTTGCTAGTACTTTGTCATGCTGCATGACACTTGCAGTGAATTGAAGCTAAATGAAGGGTATGGGAGATAGTTGCCCTTTCAAGCATATGCACTCCTTTTCATACCAATACTATGTACCTTTGTTTGCTGTTTCATTTTAGCTTCACTACTTTCTCAGAAGCATCTCATTTAACAACAGTGCAGGAGAAAAGATTTCCTTTGACCAAAATGGGGACTTACTGGCTGGATTTGATATTATCAACTGGGTCACATTCTCAAACCAAACTTTTCTTAAAGTCAAAGTTGGAAAGATTGATCCTGTCCATCCCAAAGACAAAATGTTCAACTTTGCCTTGGATGGTATTATATGGCCCAGTACATTTAACCAGGTATAATCAGCACATACTACAAGGTGTGTCTAGTAATGTCTCCATTTTTCAAGGAGTACAGCTAAGAAGTTGAGTCACCTTTGTTAAGCTGGAAAGGCTCAGGCTTGTAGCTGGATGGGTAACCATATGTGGAACCATAGCAGGGGGTTAGACTCAATGGCTCTATTGGTCCCTCCCAAATCTACTTCAGCTCTGTTTGGTTCTGTTTGGCTCAGTTTAGCTCAGTTCAGTTCTGTTTGGTTATATTCTACAATAGCTCATTCCTGAGCCACTGATATAGGACTGCTACTGTGTTCTGCCATTTAGCAAAGGCTCATTCCAGCTATGTGTATTATTTCTCAAACGGTCTCCTTGCAAAATCCTTGCAAAATCCCAGAATCTGCTGTACTGGATTTCGGTAGCTGTTTAACTGGGGCCTATGCTTTTAGACATTCCAAATTTTCATCTGGAAAAAATCCAAAAATGAAATAGCTTTGCTGAGTTTTGGCCTCTAAGGCTGTAAACTGATGCACACTTTCCTGCAGGTATAACTCACTGAGTACTATGCAACTATGGAAAAATGGGGATTTTAAACTCCAGAAGCAAGATCAACCAGTTGCATTATTCAGACACCACACACACTTCCTTCCTCAATCATGCAGGATTTGATTCCTGGAGAAAGCAACATGAATGTTCAGCAGGCTCACCAGGAAGGTGGTTTATGACTTGTTGAAGTATCTGGAGTGCAGGGAAGTAATCCCAGGGAATCGAGTGGATTCCCATCCCCCAAATGGATTTTAAACACATACCTAGTAAGGAGAAACCAGCGAATGGCCCACTTCATGCTGAAGTACTACAAATTGGTTTTGATGACATGACAGGCCAATGATGGTAAAAACTCACTGTAGCTAGTTCTGTCATGGGAACTCAGCTAATATCTTGATAAAAGGTAAAGGTAGAGGTAAAGGTTTCCCCTTGACATTAAGTCCAGTCATGCCTGACTCTAGGGGGCAATGCTCATCTCCGTTTCCTAGCTGAGGGAGCCAGTGTTTGGCCGCAGACTATCTCCGTGGTCACGTGGCTGGCATGACTAAAGACCGAAGTGCACGGAATGCTATTACCTGCCCACAGAAGTGGTACCTTTTTATCTACTTGCATTTGCATGCTTTCGAATTGAAAGGTTGGCAGGAGCTGGGACAGAGCAACGAGAACTCACCCCGTTGTGCAGATTTGAACCAGCAACCTTTTGATATACCAGCCCAGAAGCACAGAGGTTTAAACCACTGTGCCACCTGCAGTCCCATCTTGATAAATACCATTTTAAAAATATTCCTCATATTTCTTTTCTGGAATATTGTGTTTCTTCCAAATCATGTAACTGTAGAACTTGGGGGGATGCAAGCTTCCCAAAACTATTCTTCAAATATTAAAATGTTAATTAATTTTATTTATGCACAGATACAACCCATGTCTCTGTGTAATGACTACTGCCATTCAGGATACAGTAGGAGAAAGAAGGAAGGAATGCCATTTTGCTGTTTTAACTGTCTTTTGTGTCCAGAAGGGATGATTTCAGATCAGAAGGGTAAACAATACCAATTGTTGAATATTTTAATTTATTTGCTGTGCTTCATTTCTGTAGGTCAGGGTTTATATATGCTCCTTTCGTTCATATTTTAATTCTTTTCCACAACTGACTGGTGCTTGCTGAAGGAAGGGCACCCAAGTATGTGTGGACAGAATCCACCAGGGTGTTTTTAGTTCCATTCCATTCCATCCAACCAATTCATTTCACAAGCAGCAGATTCTGCCAATCAGGACTCACTGCTTATGGAAAAGAGATTTAGTGCTTTGTAGAAAAAGCTCATAAATGCTCATTACCAAAAGAGGAAACAAGAAAAAAAGGAGTTCCTTAAGGAATTAGCATTTCCACACATTTCCAGCTGTCTCAGAAGCATTCAACTGAAAACGAAGAAGCAGTGGAGGCTGCTTGCATGACAGAGTTGGAAGGATATAAGAGAATTAGATACTGAATCACTTCACTGAATTCTTACCTAAGTGTCCTCTTCTGCACATTACCCCATTTAGAGACACAACACAGTTCTTATGTAAGACATCCACACAATCTGGTTATCAAGCTTGCATTCATGCTTGGTTATGATCTCCAGAAAGAAAGGACAAGTGTTTCCGTACACTGAAGTTTGCTTCCTCTACCCACCTGATTATTGTTCTTTATGAATTCAGGCAAAATCCCAACTGATAATGATATGAAGGGTTTGAACCATCTGATTAAGATAAAACTCTGTAGAGACCACATGAACATGTGCTCAAACAAACACATGTGCACATAAAATCTTCTCTTTTTTAGACATGGATGAATGTTTCCGGTGTCCAGAGGATCAATATCCAAATGAGAATCAGGACTTCTGCATTCCCAAAAAAATAACTTTCTTGTCTTATGAAGAACCACTGGGAATCAGCTTTGCTTTCATAGCTCTTTCCTTTTCCGCGATCACAGCTCTGGTGCTTTGGATCTTCATCAAACACAACAACACACCCATCGTCAAAGCCAACAACAGGAAACTCACCTACCTTCTCCTCTTCTCTCTCCTGCTCTTGTTCTTTTCTCCTCTGCTATTCATTGGCCAACCTGCAAGGATGACTTGCCTGCTCCGACAAACTGTTTTTGGCATCATCTTCTCGGTAGCAGTGTCTTGTGTGTTAGGCAAAACCATGGTTGTAGTTCTCGCTTTCATGGCCACCAAGCCCGGGTCCAGAATGAGGAGGTGGGTAGGGAAAGGATTGGCTAATTTGGTAGTTTTTTCCAGTTCCCTCATTCAAGCCACTATTTGTACTGTGTGGCTGACAATAGCCCCTCCATTCCCAGATTTGGACATGCATTCCATGCCTGAATACATTGTACTGGAATGTAATGAAGGTTTGGTCAGCATGTTCTACAGTGTCCTAGGCTTCCTGGGCTTCCTTGCCATTGTCAGCTTCACGGTGGCTTTCCTTGCCAGGAAGTTACCTGACAGTTTCAATGAAGCCAAGTTCATCGCCTTCAGCATGTTGGTGTTTTGCAGTGTCTGGTTGTCTTTTGTGCCCACTTACCAGAGCACAAAAGGAAAGTACCTGGTGGCAGTGGAGATCTTCTCCATCTTGGCCTCCAGTGCTGGCTTACTGGGCTGCATCTTTTCCCCAAAATGCTACATTATTGTTTTAAGACCTGAGTTGAACAGGAGGGGACAGCTATTAACAAGAAATAAAAATTTATGATATCACAAAAGAGAAGTAGGTTTAATTTTCTTGAAAAACATGCAAGCAAGAGTGTTTGTGCTATAATCATTCACAAACCATGTGTCACATGAGTACTTTCATCCAAGTCTCAATTCCCAGTTCAAGTTGTACAAATACCACAATTTATTCAAATTCCCTCCAGAGACTAAAATCAGTGTATATTTTGGAAAAGGCAAAAGTTTTGGAAAAATTGCATATTTCTGTAAACTTCTGCAAATTTCCCACCTGGCTTCTATTTGATTTACTCAAATATTGTGTCTGTGCAGAATGTGCAGTGATTGCAAATGTGAATGTGAACTGAGCAAAGGATAAGTAGTAATATTATGGATGTGCAAGGAATCAGATAGGATAGTGGCAATACAGTGGGTTTTTATGGGGTGCCTCCTCCCTTCATTTCTGGTTCACCATCTTTGCGCTGGCATTGACTCATCATGAGACAAGTCAAGCCAGCTCCTGGACTTCCACCCATATACTGAGACGTGGGCTGAGCTTTCTTTCAAATGATGAATAAATGTGGGCAAATACAAGGATTTGTGCAAATTTTTTGATGTTACACCAATTGCACAAATCACAGGATTTTGTGCAAACCTGCACCCAAAATCATTTGGGTCCAGTGTAATTTGTTCACATCAGCTGCTTACACACAAAGTGTTCTAGATTTATGTGCCTCTTTTTGATATCCAGTCCAGTTAAGGAGGACATTGGTGTGCATCCTTTTTGCTCAAAGACCAATTTTTGCAGCATCTTGGCCACTGCACTGAGCATATTTGTTCCTCAGGGTATAAATGATGGGATTGCGCAGGGGAGGGACCACAATGTGAAAGACAGCAATTTGCTTGTCATGATCTGGAGCTGTGTCTGACCAGGATTTCATATAAAGAGAGATAACTGTGCCATAGAATAAGGCAACTACTGCTAGATGAGAGGCACACGTGAAAAAAGTCTTGCTCCAGTCACAAGGAGACTGCATTTGTACCGTAGAAGAAAGAATGGGTTCATAGGACTCATCAGTCTCATTCTGCACCCTTGTTGATCTTGTCAATGGCAAGAAGAAAGGCAAAAACATGCTGGTAGTTTCTCAGGAACATGCTGCAACATCATTGCCATGTGGTCTTAAGTCTTGACGTCAGAGGTCCATCTGCTCTACAGCTTGCTTTTTCATTTGCCTATCTGGCTATTCCCACACTATAGAAAAATCTTTCACACACAAATGATAGTGAAGGTGGTTTCATTTCAGCACAGCCTTTTCTGTTCCCATTGTCCCATAGGACAACCAACTTCACCTCCCCTCCATTTTCCACAGCTTCTATTTATTTTTTTATTTTTTTATTAAAACATTTTTATGCCGCCCCATTCGCCGAAGCCTCGGGGCGGCTTACAATAATAGATAAAACCAATAAGTTAAAATATACATATAAAATAATCATAATAATTTAAAACACACATTATAAAATAAGCCGCCCTGGCCAGATAAAATTCAGTTGTATTAGCATTTAAAATGTTGCTTAAATAAAAAGGTCTTTGGCTGGCACCGAAAAACAAATAACGACGGCGCCAGGCGGACCTCTCTGGGGAGCGCATTCCATAACTTAGGCGCCACCGCTGAGAAAGCCCTTCTCTGAGTAGCCACCCTCCTAATTTCTCTCATGGAGGGCTCCCGGAGAAGGGCCTCTCCCGCTGATCTCAGGGGGTGACTGGGCAAATATGGATGTAAGCGCTCCTTCTAGCCTTGCTGAGACAGCCCACCTTGCACTTAAACATTGTGTGTGAAGAGAGGGAGTGTGCTAGTCCAGCTCCCTCCCTCTTCTCTCCATACAATCCTCCAAAGCAGCTTCAGAGTCATCAACAGCAATGCAACAGCACTGTTCTTTCTCTGCAGCATGCAACCCAACAGAAAGGAAAAGGATGGGGAGGGAGAAGGAAAAAGGACAAGAAAATAAACTCATGGCACCTGCAGGCAACTTCCTATGTGCGTTCATGTCTGGAGCAGCAGTGCCAGCTGGGACCTGCTGCCACCCTCACCCAGAGTAAAACCAGCCCACTCTGTTCAGTCCCCAAATGCTCCCGGTTCCATGGGGATGATTGGCTTAGGCTCTCCCTTGAGTCTGTCATGTTGGGCTTCCTTGAAGCCCACCCATGTCCTTTAGGGGAGCACAACTGTATTGTTAGTGGTGCTCAACACTCTGAAAGCAACCTGGGTGTTGAAACAAAGTAACATGACTCAGAACATGGTGTGCCACCTGGTGAACCTTCCCTCCTTCCCCCTAAAGAACACAACCTAAATCCAAATAAGGTGGATTTAGAAAGTATTGAGGAAAGACTGAGTCAAATATACAGAAAAGGGAAAAGGCTGACCAGATTTGAAGCACTCACCAATAAATGGTTTATTTTCACTTTCGGTGCACAAGCAATACACAGTTCAAAGCAGCAAATCAGAAGCAAACAACGAATGAAGGGGGAAAAGATGAGCTAGTTAGCAAAGCCCTGTGCTAAGCTGCCTACCTGGTTCCTTGTGGTCCGACTATGTCTGTAGCAAAGTTCTCCTGATGCCAATGCCAGGGCTTCCCGTTAGTTTGAGGGGATAATGACACCAGGACACTTGTATCGGAGAAGCAATCCCTTCTAGGCCTGTTTCATTCTCCCTTAATTCTGGGGAGATTTTCTCCTAGCATCTGTGTTGGAAGAAAAAGACCACCACCACCACACACAAACATCCCTTTTTAGTGGAGCATCTCTGGGAGTATCAAAAGATCTCATGTATGTTGATTGTCCAGGAATGGCTATCTGAGGTGCTGAGGTGGAGGAAAGAAGATTCCTAATACTCCAGTTCCTGGACAATTTGCCATTGCATAGATTGCTGAAGTGGTGGTGATGCTTGGCTGACACAGTGCTGGGCCAGGTCTTCTGCATCAGAAGGGCAGCATCAAGTAGCCTGCTTAAGCAGAGAGCTGCAACTGATTGCAAAGTGGAGGTTTCTGTTGCTTGGATTTGGGTTCAATGGAGTCCGGATAGTCTGAGTGGGGGAGTCCAGGCTGAATGTAACACCCCTTCCTCAAAAATTGTGGGGGACAAGGGATATGGCCTGGTTCCTCCCTCCATGTTCTGCCTAGAAACATGTGGCAACACCTATATTGCTTCTATCATATGGACCTGCAAAATCCAATGGTTATACTTCAGGCTTCCTTCTTCAGGTAGCTTACATCCCCTCATTTATCTTTGACCAGGTATGGTGCCAGCCAGGTATGAGAACCAGTGGGGTTTCAGCACCACTTCCAGATCCTCTGCCTGGCATCCCTCTTCCTGGCCTTCTGCTTTTCCATCAGTCACTGCTGGGCTATTTCCACAGTTTCCTTTATGGAGGTGTGATCTGCTAAGTCCTTGATCTGCTACCTCCCAAAATTATTTCAAATGAAGTGGCTTCCAGACTATGCATTTGATATCCCTGTCATAGTTCAATGCTCTAGGGCTTCTATAAAGCAGCCAAGGCAGTTGCATTAACTTGAAAACAAGTCATTTTGTTCCCTTTGGATGCTCCCAACACCATATCTTTTCAGATAAGTATTTTGTTTCCAGCCAGCTCTGCTCATGAAATGCCTACCATGTGCATGGCCTACCATGTGCATCTTTCAACACCTTCATGAATGTTGCCACCTCCTGTGGAAACCCTTTCCATACCCTTGGAGTCCTAACTGTCAGGAAGTACTTTCTGGCATCCAAAATGAACCTTGGTTCCCTGAGCTTTGCTCCATTGGAATGTGCCTTGCCCTCCTCCACATGGGAAAACAGGGAAAATACAGGGGAAATAATCTGTGGGTCACTGTTTTGGTATCCATAGTGTCACCTCTCTATTAGCTGAGGTAGTGCTTTTCAAAATTATTTACTAAACCTAGTAGAATTATTTACTAGGTTCATGGAAATGAAAGAACAGTCAGCATGAATGGGTTCTCCAAGCCCTCCTGACAATCATGGAAAGGTGGATGCTCACACTGGATAATGCAATGGATTGAGCACCATATAAAGCCTTCAGTGTTTGAAGAGTAGAAAAACAACTTTACCTTCAAACATCTGCATAGAAGGTGCAAGAGAGAAACTGTTCCAAGTCTCTGTTGAAACACTTGTACTTCTTGCTAAGAAGTGTGCCGAATTGTCTCTCAGGCCACCAGTGCACTATTTGGGAAAATAAATGCAAGAAAAAAGCACTAGAAACCAAAATGGGGAAGAAATAGATCACCATCCTAAAAATCCCAGGCTGCCCTTCCCAGGTTGGGTGAAATTCCAGATTCAGCCTTAGTCAAGATGACCAGATGACAAGATGTGACATTGGCCAGGAGATCATCTGCACAGGTAAGGCTGATGCATCAAGAGTATCTTTCCCACATGTATCAGATGCCTCTACCCTGAAACAGACTGCCTGGAGTATTTTAGGAGACTTAGCAAAATAAACAATGAGGGGAACAGATTAAATATGTCTTTCACATATACTGGGTGGGCTATGGATGTGCACTCTACATTGGCATCTTTTTTTACAACCTTTGTGATATTTCATTGACTAGAGCCTACTCAACATGGCAGGTGACTCTCCAGCTGCTTCAATGATTTCCTGTTTGTTTCTGGAAATAAATTGTAGCCAACAAATACTGTTATGATTTGAAATCAAGCAATTTGAGCCACTATATTCTCCATATGAACCAGACCAAGTTCAAAGAAATGTCAATCCTATGGAATACAGAACTGCCCCACAGAATACTAAGATCTCTTCTTCCTAGCTAACTGCTCCCTGGTGTTCAGCTCAGGCCTCACCATGATAATGTAGATCTTGGGGAGGAATATAAAACCCAGTAAGCCAGCACCGGAGGCCAGGATGGAGAAGACCTCCACTGCAACCATGTACTTGCCCTTGGTGCTCAGGTAGGTGGGCACAAAGGACACCCACACACTGCAGAAGACCAGCATGCTGAAGGTGATCAGCTTGGCTTCATTGAAAGTATCAGGCAACTTCCTGGCAAAGAAAGCCACCGTGAAGCTGATGATGGCAAGGAACCCCATGTAGAGAAGCACAATGTAGAACATGCTGTCCGAGCCCTCATTGCATTGAATTATGATTGCATCCACCTGGGAGTGCATGTCCAACTCTTTGAAGGGGGGAGAAATTGACAGCCACACAACACAGATGCCAGCTTGAATGAGTGAAGAGAGAACAATGACAGATGCTGCCAGTCTCTTCCCCACCCATTTCCTCATGCTGTTTCCAGGCTTAGTGGCCATGAAGGCCATCACCACCGTGATGGTCTTTGCTAACACACAGGACACAGCAATGGAGAAGACAAGGCCAAAAACAGTTTGCCTCAGAAGGCAGGTCACCTTCCCAGGCTTCCCAATGAACAAGAAGGAGCAAAGAAAGCAGAGCAGCAGGGAGGACAACAAGGTGCATGTGATGCTTCTGTTGTTGGCCTTGACAATGGGGGTGTCCCAGTGCAGTCTGAAGCTCACAAGCAGGACTACTGTGGCTGCTGAAAGGACAAGAGCTGAGGACAACAAAACTACTCCCAAAGGCTCCTCATAGGACAGGTAGCTTATTCCTTTAGGAGTACACTGGTTCTGCTCCTCGTTCGGATACTCATCTTTCAGACACATCTTACACTGGTCTGCATCTGTAGGTAGGAAGCACAGTCTCAGCACTTTCAGAAGTCACAAAACTTCATTTTTACAGCATGAGATACTCTTCTAAATCACTCTGGATTCCTTCACTTACCCATCTGGGTTGAAATCCTCCCTTGGGGGCATACTTGGCAATCGTAGCAGCACACCGGCTTCCCTTCCTGGATGGCCATGCTTTGCCCAGGGTGGCAGCTCTCCGTGCACCTGGACCTGGGCATTGTCTAAGAGAGAGATAGAAGAAGAGCTTGTCTGTTGGAATGGCTCCAATCCAGCTGCTTCATGTTCTTTTGCACTCAGAAGACCTGTCAGGCTTTCAGCTCAGGACAGATGCCCTTTAACAAGGAGAAAAACAGCCTACTGAGGAATTAGCTCCTGACACTCTCCACTGGGGGCCCAGAGCCTCTACCTAAAGTCAGCCACCTCAACAGTGACAACCAGGGGGCCACAGTCTTTTTTTGTGCAGTCTCCAAAATTTCTCCTTGCCTCAACTCAATGCACTTGGCATGTGGTTCTTTTCCCTGAAGAAATGTGCTAGCTTTCTTCTGTTATCTTTGATAAGTCTCAGATTTCTCACAGGGAGATAGGACTGCCTTTGAGATGAGCATCTGGGCCAGAAAGTTAATGCTAAGTGCTCAGATCTTAGTAGCGAGAGATGGGTCATCAAACAACAAGATCAGATTTTTCTTTCATATTGCAAACATTTTCATCAGAGTATTTTAGTCAAAATCTGAGTTTACAAGAGCTGAGTAGGGCTGTTATGGGCAGCACATTTGGGAAGACCTTCAGTCCAACATTCTGCAGAAGTCAGAGCTAAACTGACAGCACCTAACAACAAGTAAAATACATCAAGCAATTTATTTTCCCCATGCCTTAACAGTTGTACAGTTACTGTATAATTATAAGAATAGGGAAAATTGAGAAATAATTATCAGATACACATATATTTATTTCTCATGGCAATAATCTTAAAAAATCAATGACACTCTGAAACATCAGAGAAATTAAGAGTTTGTCACAGAATTACAAAGGACACAAAGAAAAGGAAAACAAAAAGAGTGTCCTTTGCTCAAATGGTGGTAGAAAAATACAATATGGAAATAAATTCTTGCACACATGCATGCATACATGATTCTGTCTCTTTGTATATATGTGATATGTATCTGAATCAGGAGTGGCCTGATGAACTAGCCACAGCTGTGTGGCTGGGGAGATTCATTCTGGTTTCAGACGCCTCACTGAGCAGATCAGAAAACCTGCCGCGGCTGTTCCAGGGCCTCTGGGATACAAAGAGCCAAGATCGCAGGGAGCAACCAACCAAAATGAATGAACAGGGAATATAAGGAGCAGTTTGGTAGCAATGTTTGGCAGGGAAGGTCAAGGTGGAGGATGGTACTGGGTTTTATTCTGAGTTGCTCTTTTCATTTTTAAACTTTTTTTCTCTTTGCTTCTGTATTCCACTAGTTTCCACCCCTCCATTTTCCCCCCTTGAAACATTCTCCCTTTTACTGGTAGGGGTGTGTTGTCAACCTTCAGGGGAGACAGGAGAAGGCACCTGTTATCTTATGCCCTTTCTTTTTTGCTGCAGTCATCAGATTAGTGGGAAAAATCCTGGTGATGAGTAGGACAAGAGAGATTAGGTGCTGTTTCAGACATTTTGCCTAGGTCACCCATCAGATGTAGCCACAGGAAATATATATTGTGAATATCCCACAAGCTTCTTAACCCTCATCTAGTACAATTGCTCTTTGTACTGGGCTAAGAGCTCTGGAGAAATATTAGTTTCAGGGACATTCTGGTAGCATCTCAGCACCTTTGCAACACTGAAAATGAAGAAGTGGCCCGCTGTCCCATGTGCATATGTGAAGCTCAGAATTTGGCCAATGTCCTGAAAGCAAAACATGGCATTGAACTCCAATGCTCCATGCTTGCATTGGACAAATTTACTGCTTGCCACCAGTATTTGTATTGATAGGGAATGGTAGCAGGTCACAGAAGAAGAATTAGAGTGAAGTCTGAGGAAGGACATTTTTGACCGTGGCTTCCAACTCCTCTCTGATTTTAGGCAGGTGATCTGATTTAAGCAATGGAGAAGGGGATCTGCTGGCCATGCCTTCCTTCCTCCCTCATTTCTATCTCACCGGTCCCACATAGAGCTTCCCCTGCATGGATTCAATTGGGATCTTGCAAGAGAGGTTAGAGACACACTGTGATCAGGGCTCCTTGCTTCTCTCCCTGTCAGCACAAAGGCAAATCAGCTTGACATGGGCAGAGGACAAGCTTTTCATGTATAAAATGAAGCAATGGAGATTCCATTGTCTCCATTCCTTCTAACCCTAAAGGTCTGGTCCTCCTTTTATGTCAAGCAGTCATATTAATGTTTGTGTTCACATTCTACATCCCTGTGGACATGATGTAGTATCAGGCATTCAAGATATCAGGATCCTATGCTGATGAGAGATATACAGGAATAAATCATGCTGATGACATGCAGATGATGATGTTGATGATGATGAACCTTTCTACCTGATTAAACTTGTGATTCCATACAACGGCACTTCCATTGATGCTGAATCCATCCTCTGCAGTAGCCCCTGGGTGCATCCTTCCAACCAGGACTCTGTGGAATGACTCATTGGGGAAGGTGACCAAGTTGATGAGATCGTATCCTACAGACAGCTCCCCATTCTCACCAAAAATGATGTCTTCTCCAGCACTATTATTGAAGTGGATGCTCCTCAGAAAGGAGTGAAGCTGGATTGGAGGAGAAAAAATGCTTAGAATATATCATTGTCATGAGAAAGGTCTCTTCATCACCACAACACCCTTCTTCAACACATGGTCAGTCAGTGGAAACCCTACCTGTGACTATATCATGCATATGTATGTAAACATCCTGATCCAAAACCCCTGCATTCCACCTTCAGATATGCCATTTGAAAAGGAACCCATTCAAATTCTGGGTGACTATTCAAACTCTGTGCTACCATACATTCAGTGGTGCACACCTTCTCAGCCTCCACAGACCAGAGAATCTTAGGACAGGATTGAAGAGCTGCAGAAAATAGAGAACAGCCAATTGCAGGGAGAGTGGTGGGAAAACGATAGTCAAGGATGGTATCTTATGCCAGAGTCTATTCATGCAATCTGTCGAAGCTCAAGAAGTCTCATACTAGCCCTGCTCATTCAGCATGTGAATACGCATGGTTCTGAGAATCAAGTCCTGCTCAATCACTCATCCCAAATCTGAACATTATAGAAGGGAAGCTGGGATGATGAGGTTATCTAAAGTGGGACTAGAACTCAGATCTCCTGAAACCCAGTGCCTCATTTTTAACCACTGTGCCACATCAGCTCTCACCAAAACCATTTACTAGAATACTTGCAAGTATAGATAAGTCAGCCTTTTCCAGATTGGGAACCACACCTGGGCCACCTGGGGGAAACAGGAATCTTGACGACTACACCACATGGAAAAGAGACACAGTACAACTGCTAGGCATTCTGAAACTGAATGGAAGAGTCAAACTTGGTACAGCACTTCAGCACCATTTATCTTCTTCCCCTTTGCATGTTCACTTGGATAATGCAAATTCCCCCAGCCCATTCCTTTTCCTTAAAAGTAAGCAAAATATCCTATCAGGATTGAGAAGATGGCCCTCACAGGAAGCTGAGATCCCATCCTCCCACTCTGGGTCTCAGCCTGAAGGATCAAAGGAAAGCACAGGGGCATGGAGGGTAAGCTATGGGCAAGTGCAGTCTCTCACTTTGCACAACATCATTCTTGATTGCAGTCCACATCTCCAAAAGCATCTGCCTTCCCTTTCAGGTTCCTGGCTTGAGCCAACATCCAAAGTTTTTCTATCCAAGATTTGTGTTCTGTTCACTAGATTTCCATGTCATGGTTGTCTAGAGAAGGTCCTGATCCCACTCCCTGCTTTCCCCTTTTGTCTTGCTCTCTCTTTCTGTCTTTTTTTTAAGAGCATGGAACTAGGGGGTATTGAAAGAAAACTGCTGAAATAATCAAAAGTTTGTGACCTCTGAGATGGTTAACTTATAAATTAAAGAAAGCAAGAGAAAAGAGATTAATATTTAAGTTGAAATATGGAGAAGGACAACTACAGGTCCAAAGAGCATCAATAAAGAGAATAGTGGAATTCTTTTTTACAAAGCTATATCAAGCCAAAGAAATATCAACTGAGAAAATTCATGAATATATGCAAAAGGACAATTTACTGAAATTACCAGAGAAATTTCAAAAGATATTAAGTGAAGAAATAACAATGACAGAAGTAGCTGAAGTGATTAAGAGACAAAACAATGACAAAACCCCTGGCCTGGACGGATTACCAGCACAGTATTATAAATGTTTTGAAGAAATTTTATCTACATCTCTGAAGGATATATGTAATGCTGTATTGTCAGACACTTATACACCAAATACTTGGATCAAGGCAAATATTGCTTTAATCCCGAAAGAAGATATGTACTTGACACAGATCCAAAACTACGGACCAATATCACTTTTGAATGTGGACTATAACATTTTTTCTTCTGTAATGGCAGAAAGGTTGAAGAAATTTTTAATAGGCTTTATACATGTAGATCAAAATGGCTTTTTACCAGAGAGACAAATCAGAGACAACGTGAGGATCATCCTGGATATCTTAGAGTATTATGAAGTACATTCTGAAAAATCAATGGCGCTATTGTTTCTAGATGTGCACAAGGCTTTTGACAATGCTAACTGGCAATCTATGAAATAGCAATTAGGACAAATGGAATTTGGTGAAAAATGTATAAACACAATAACAAGTATCTAAGAAAAACAGACTGCTAGTGTAATAGTCAATGGAGAATTTAGAGAGACAATAGACATTCAAAAGGGCACAAGACAAGGATGTCCCTTATCGCCATTGTTATTCATACTGACCTTAGATGTTTTAAACAGAAGTGTTAGAGAAAATATGGACATTAAAGGCACTAGAATCAGAAATGAAGGCAACAAACTCCAAGCATTTGCAGATGACTTAGTCTTTATTTTAGAAGACCCTTTTAACAATTCCTAAACTTTTTTAAAAAATAGAAGACTATGGTGAAGTTACTGGAATGAAAATAGAGAAAAGACTAAGCTTTTAGTTAAAAACCTTTCACTGAAGCAAAAAACCACTTTGATGCAACAAGTAGATCTTCAAATAGTTAAAAAGGTTAAATATTTGGG